AATGCAGAAGAATAACTATTTTATAACTATGGTGAGGAGATCCAGTTGTGATGTACAGACCAGGCAGGCCTGTAGAGCAGGCAAGTGACAGGTTTATGTGTTAGCTCGTGGGAGTAGCTGTAGGCTTCCCAAAAAATGCCTGCGAGAGCTTGTCTTTGGGTTGGGTTGGTGGTTGGATCATAACAATTCATACACATGGCTCAGATATCCCAAATAAAGTATTGCTTCCCATTGTGATATTGGCCATAATTTGCTTCATTGCCTGGCAGTTTCAAATTATTTGACAATAAAAGTGTCAGCAAGCCTATAAAAGTAAAACACATGCTTTAGAGGAAGATGATGCTTTATTTTTTAAAAATGGTATACAGTGACTTTATGAAGAAAAGAGCCACGATTCTTTATATTCCAGAGTGTTCAGATCTAAGGGGTTACGCAAAGTGTTTCGTGATGCTTCACAGTCAGAGGTTAAGAAAGCTAAAATCAATATCAAAATACGTTTTATTTTTCTTGGCTCGAAAGCCAAAAATGTAACCATAAATTTGCATTTTGTGGTGCCAATATTCTGTGAAAGTAACACAGCCATGACTTACTCATGCGTTTTGTTTCAGAGGGACAGGAGGGGAAAGGAGCTTTTTGTGCATCGTATCGTGTAGTGTTTCAGTTGCAGTATTGACCTGCAGGCCTGTATTCACTTCAAAATTGACAGGACTTGAAATATTTCCTCCAAACCCCCTCCTGGGTTCCTGCACAGGGAGCAGAACCCCAGTTCAGTTGTAAGTGGAAGGGCTGAGGAGCTCCTGTGAGGAGGGGCACGTCCAGCCAAGCCTTTCTGCGAGGCTGTGGCATGTCACGTTCCTCCTTCTTTTTGACTGTGAACTGTTTTATGTACAAAATCATATAAAGTTGTGGTTTCAGATTTTTCCCTGTGAAAGGAATTAAATGCCCTTAATAATTTTTGAAGGTGACTTGTAAAACAGAGGCAGAAGGCAACTTGTTTTTCGATGCTCTTGGCTAACGTTGTGTTACTGGTATGTAAGGAAGGCATCCTGTCAGTAGAGCAACTGACTAGTTGTCTGATTTTGCTTATACTTTGCATTGTTCAATTTTAGTTAGTAATGTTTACAGTATTTTGCAATATGTTTGGGAGGAAAGATTATATGTATACACAGAACTGAAGCCTCCATTAGGAGAGTCGTGCCCCTGCTTCTAAGAAGAAGTTTGGGCTGTTTTTGCTATGTGTGTTTTACTTGTGGTATAGCTTCTTAGTAGTTCTAGAAAATTAATGGAAACAGTAACATGGAATTTTTTAGAGGGTGCCCAGGTCCTCTGACTGTTAAACCTGCTTTATTTTACCCTGAAATGAAGGCTGGTGGGTTTTCCTTGCTTTTGCCCCCCACAAAATGACGCGAAGCAAGATTAGCTTCTCTCTCAGAAGGTTTTGAAAGAGATTGAGCTGACTTCCTCAGCTTCAGGCTAAATCAGTGAGGAGTTTGACATACAATGGAGCATCCCTCTCTGGTCAGTAGAACTCTTCCTCCAGCCACCATCCCTTTTAAATGCTACGGAAACCTGACAGCCTCAGACACATCATGGGCTGAAAAATGGGGAAGGGGCTGTTCTGGAATGAAACTTTTCATCATTCAGCAGAAAACTGAATTCACAATTAAGTTTTGGAAAAGACAACATATACAGTCTGCTAGCACTTAATTTATCTAGAAGGGAAATAGAGTTTGGAGAGTCTTTATTATATTATTGCGTATGTTAATCTGTCTTAAGCAGTTCTTAAAATGTAAGCCATAGATCAAGATGCACAGAAGGCCTATTTTCATTCTTGTGTTTAATTTGTTTAGATTGCTGCTACATTGATAACAGTCCAAATGACATTAAGTAGTTGTTTCTGTATGTGACCCTTTTAAGACTGCACTGTTGGGCAGGTAATTTTGTACATGCAGTTGGGAACGTCCTAGAATACACTAATAATGTCTTTTTCACTAGCAGTTTACCATCTAATTTCAGGGTAAAAGAAATGTTTTTTTCCTAAGGAACCTGCTTTTAGAATTTTTTTTCCAGTTAGTCAACAGGAGAAGATAGTAGCTGTCATGCAATTGTTTGACTTAAATGTGCTTCACCACTTACTTTGCCTGGCAAGCAGATACACAAAACTGGGATCCTCTCAGGCTCCCATTATTTTCTCAGGATAACTACAATATTTGGGCTATTTCCACGTCTTGGGCAACATTTAAACTAATGGATATGTTCCCAACTGAAGTTAAATGGAAGAGAATTCCCTATAAGAGCCAAAATATCTCCCAGATGTCCCATTTGGTTTGGATGCTGTCTCACTGAAGCATTCAGGCTGGATGGTGTGTTGTCCTCTGTGGTGGAATTTGAAAGATCATCTTCCCTCAAGTCTGCTCTTGTCTGGAAGCCAAGAAACCTGAACAAATGGTGCTTCCTAGCCTGTGAGCCTTGTTTTGGTGTACCATCAGCTTTGGGATTCTTTTTTTTTCCAGTACTCAGTGCTCCAGTAACTCAAAAACCTATTTTACAGCCACCGAGTGATGAGTGGGCTCGAGAAAATGCTGATAATTGTAAGGTTAAAGACATGGCTAAAGCTATGCCCCTGGTAAGTTTGGAATAACTGTTTTCCAGGGAAAATATACAAAGTGTAGCAACTTCCAGTAGGCATGGACAGGGGGTTTGGAAGTTGTTGGTCACAGCTTTACTGTCACCATGCTGACTGGACATTTACACTTGTAAATGCGAAAGAGCTGGGCCAGAGAGCTGCTGCAGATCCCACAAAGCACCATGGAACTTGATTTGTGATTTTGAACAGGTCCATTTGGGATGGGTTAAAAAATTTAGAACTGATCTGAAATCTGCATCTTGTTGGCACGTTGCAGCACGTAGGGGTGACTTTTAGTTGCTGCAACTAGTTTTCTGTATCCATAGTCTTCTATGAGTATCTTTAGTTATTTTTAGAAGCGAGTCTAACCATAAAATCAAACCTTAGGCAGTGTTGATGGGGTTTCTGATTTTGAGGTTTGGCTAGGCTGGTTTACAGTTGCTGTGCTGGTGTCTGATGGTATTTTTTTCACCCTGTGCATCTGACGTTTTCTGCCTGTTGTGTATCTTTCCTCAATTCACAACTTTCTGTTCTGACATTCCGTGTTTGATATTGAATTGAGCGTGTGTAGTGTTTGTATTAGCTGGGTGTGTACATATCTAACTCTGCAGGTCTCTCTGTACTCTCCTGAGGAGTTTGCTCCTGTAGCTTTAAGCCTTGTGCAGCTCTGCATCTGTAACCACTGGCTTTGTTCCTGAAGTTCCAGTCCTGCAAGTCTGTCTGCAGGTGAACCTTGCCCAGTGCGGGGAGGCTGGCGATGACTTTCAGCAGGGCTTGCACTCAGTGCTGAGATTTGCTCATGGAGGAAATCGTTGGGTGGGTTTTAGAATTTCCTGAAGTAAACCTTCATGAGTGTGTGTCTGGGTATGCAATGCAGCAAGAAGAGGCTGCTGAAATGTTCTTTAGCTTTGTCCTGGCTGCCTTTGTTTTGCTCACTGCCTGTTGCTTTCAGCAGCAGGTATGTTGGAAATGGTGAACAGCTGCAGCACTTTCTGTGGGAGCTTTTATTTATCCTTCCCCTGTCACATTTACTGGCTGGGGATGGAGCTGCTCTGCAGAGTTTTCCTAATTCCTGCAGTAACTGGGGTTCAGTGGCAGAGAGGGTCTCCCAGTGGAGTGGCCCTGCCTGCTGCTTGTGTTGTCTGACTGACCCTGCTGGGAAAAAGCAGCAAGAGGAAGAAAACTCCAAGCTTTTCAAACACAGTGAAGTAAATCGTGTTTCTTATGATGGTTCACCGCTCATGTAGTTGTTTGGGGTGGTTGGAAGAAGACTTAAATTAGAAGATTTCAACTTAACTCATAACCTGAGAAATCAGGAGGTCACACAAATAGTGTGTGTCAAGACCAAAGTCTTAGACGTAAAAAGTGCCTTCTTGTAACCAATACATGATGAACTAAGGGGGTTATTTGCTCAAGTATTGTCCAAATAGTTATTTGGTTATTTGCTGATTTCTGAGCCTGCTGAAACCAGTGCAGTGCCTTATCAGGGAGGCTCAGGAAGCTTTGCAGATATCTAACATGGTCCTCACAGGGGTGGAGGGGTCCCACTTGCTGTTCCTGTGATGCCAAAAAAAGGCATTCTTCCTTCACCTGTAGATTGATTTCTGGCAGCTGAGCAATCAGTGGTGAATCATTGATTCATGTATAGAATAATTATGCTTCTCAAGAGGTAAGGCAGGGCTTTTGTCCCCGTAAAAAAAGATGCTTAATAATATTTTTTCTTCTGCCTCTGATGCAGAAAACTGTAGTATATGTACTCTTCTGTTTGGATCTTTCCATAATGCTTGTTCCTTTAGTTCCTGGTAGGCAAGTTTGTCTTACTGGAAAGTTTACATTGTGAGCAGTGGCAGTCAACCTTTAATGGGGACATTGTATTTAAACCACCAGATGTGCTTTGCCACTTAGATGCAAAAGGCCATAACTTAATTAACATTTCTCTGTTAAGTGGGATTCTGTTTTGGATGTTGGATGCTTTATGTGGTGCTAGCATTTCTCAGGAAAGAAAAAAAGGATGTGTTTTTTTTTTTATTTCTGAGAAGAGATCCAGGAAGCTGGAACTGAAGAGATTGAAGTGGATTCCTCATGTGCTTTTTATCTTCCTTCCTGTATTCTCTCAGCATTTCCATCCAGGACCAGCACAGCCCTTCAGGGTGTCCATTTAAGCCATATGGGATGCAGATACCCTTCTGCTGGGAGATTCCAAGGGACTCTTGTCTTATTTTACTGAGGAACAGCGTTCAATTAGTGATTATGTGGTGAACTACCACAGTGCAGATGATTCTAAGTGCAGAGCAACAGAAAGGTCTACTACTACATGTTCTGCTGTTTCTTTGGAGCTCAATTTTCATTTCTTCCTCTTCTGTTTCCTTTTCAGCCTGTTTGACATGGGAGGAGAGTATTACTGCTACGGTTCTGACATCACCTGCACCTTCCCTGCCAACGGGAAGTTCACTGCTGACCAGAGGGCTATCTATGAGGCGGTGCTGAAGTCATCGAGGGCCGTGATGAAAGCAGTCAAACCAGGTAAAACAGCAGGAACTGCAAAGCTGGATGGCAGCGTTCAGGCTGTCAGGTCCATTGTGTTTGCAATTTAGAAAGTGCTGGAAAGGAACGAGATGATAAAATTATTTTTCCATGTCTAAGCAACTCCTGATGTATAGAGGTAGGATGTACAACTTATTAGCAGGATATTTTAATCTTGCCTTTTTCTTTTCTTTTTTTTTTGTTTTCAATTCCTCTAATCTAGGGGTGGCAGTTATTACTTGGTTGTGTCTTTATACTGCCATCTTTTCAGGAAGCTTGTGCCAAACGCTGAAGTCAGAGTCTGGGTGAACGTGTGTGCTGTGCTTTGGTTTTCTTCAAGCATTTTCTGTATTTTATGTGTAAGCACAATAGAAATCTTCTCTTGAAAAAGAGGATAGATCGTGCATCTTTGGGAAGGATAATTAGCCCTAAAAAGCTTTCAAAAGCATTGGGCTATTGGGTGCTTCACTGCATGGTGCCTTTAAATTGCAGGCAAACTAATTCATCAAATATACCTTTTCATAGCTGAAACAACTGTCTGGCTTAATGAAAATCTTATTTTTCTCTGATTCTGCTTTCGGGGCAGCAAATAAATGTTTTGGAGCTAACTGCTGCTGAGCTTTTGAGTGTGTCGTGGTGAAGGTACTTGAGCATTTCTCAGTATTAGTAATGGAACAGCTTTGAGAAGAATGTACTCAATGCACAAAGCACACTTATCCTTTAAATGTGCCGTTCAGTCATCAGGCCTTGAGTGCAGGGGCTCTCTGGATTGCCAGTCGGAACAGATGCAATTTTCCTGTTATACAAGCTGGCAGCAGCACTGTTTATTTGAGCAGCTTGGAAAGGAGAAATAACACTTGATGCTTATCTGCAAATTGAGACTAGATATTTTGTTTTTTAATAACAATGTGCATTCTCCATCATCTGCTGTTTCTTCCCTGAAGAACCTTGTCCCTGTTCCTCTTCATGATTTGCTTTGCATTTCAGTGCCACCTTTATTTCCATGTAACATTTTTGGCAGTATTTCATGCTAATAAGTTGCAGACTGTTCTGCAGAACTTGAGAGCTAATATGACGTTGTGCTCAGGATGGTGCAGAGAATTCCTCAGTTTGCTGAACACTTTATTTACAGTGTCAGAACATAAGGACATACTAAATTGAGTATTTCTGAAAGATAGCAAGGATCTTTTACTAGTTTGGGGAGCTTGAGATTCACAGACAGAGAAATCATTCTTAACATCTAGCAGAAGATGGGACTGAATTTTCTGTTCTCACTGTGCTTTAGTTGTTGGCTTTCCTCTTTGGAAGAATGGTGCAAATATGGATTTACGCTGTTCATGAGACCAGTAATAATGAATTTTCTATCTACAGAAAATTTTCTATCTACAGAAATGGTTCACTGGTTTCGTTCCTTCTGTTCCTCAGAGTAGTGAAATGCAACCTGGGCCATTTGCAGTCTTGAATTACAGATCCAGCTAGAGTCCTCCAACCTGCAAAAAATGTCACCATCTGGAGAAATCTGCTTTTTAGGTCCTTTTTAGGATCTCCTGGAAGGCTAGTATTCCAAAAGAGAGGAGTTGGAAATGCTGACCTTTATGGCATGGTCAGTGTTCCATCCTTCTCAGGCTGCTGAGAAAGCCCTGAGCCCCTCGAATTGGGGGATGCAAACTGACTACATCGTCACTGCTGCCCACAGGGAGATGTTTCAGTGGGAGAGGCAGAGCCTCCTTCACCTCCTTGAACTAACCCAGCTCATTAACTCATTGACTAAAGCACCAGGATCTACTCCTGGGACTGTCACAGAGGGAGCAGGAATTGGTGACGTGAATTCAGCTCTTCTCCCTGTAATACCTTAGGTCTCTGAAAAAAAGGAGGCTGGGAAGCTTGCAGGATTAGGAGGCACTAAATCTAAAAGCCAGACCCATCATGTTTCAGTCAGATTTCCTGAGTTATGGAGCCCTCGTTAATTCTGCTGTTATTTTTGTTTGTCCTCCTTTCCCAGGGCTCCCCAGATCAAAGGCAGCCAAGTGGCTGCGCTCACGTGGCAGGAGCCACTCGTGGGGCAGGCTGAGCAGGGGGGGTGCACACAGCACAGGCAGCAGCTGTAGGAAATGGGGTTTCTCTCCAGCTGCACAACTGGGGTCTTAATTGTGCCTTGTGGCAAAGGGTCACAGGGGAATCTAGTTGTTGTCTTCGGGATGTTAATGATTCCCAGGATCTTTCTCACTGCGAGACAGGGAGCCAGTACTTTAGGGGGAGTCACTAACCAAATGCTGGGTTACATAACTGTGTTTATGGAAGGACACACAACTGCTAGCAACCTTAAACATTCTGTATAGATGTGTGTGGTTCAAAGATTTGCATTTATTTCCTCAGTTTGCCTCTCATATGAACCTACTTAACTCTCAAGTGAAGTTACTTTCTGAGAGATAGTAGACCTCCTAATACATTTTGTTTATACTTTTATGTATAAACAGTTGTCATAATTTTAAAAATACTCCAAAACATTGTATTGCATTGTAGAAAAGCATTCATCTGACTGCATCCTGTGCGTGGTCCAAATGTGCAAACAGCTCTAATCATATATATGGGTTACCCTACCTTCCAACTGCAAGAACAGAATTCCTTCTGCAAGCCAAATAATATATTCTGAAAGTTAAGAAACACTCTCTGTGGGATTATAGCCCAAGTTCAGTGCAGTCGTCACAACTCCTGCCACAAATCAAATCTGTTTAAAATAAAAGGGGAGAAAGACATATTCAGTCTTGCATAAGCAGCAGTTTTGAAACCACGGAACATGGAGCTCATATGAAGGCAGAGACGCTTGTCAGCTCGTCAGCAAAACTCCAAAAGGTGTTCCTTTGCGGCAGTGGGGTGATTCTCCCTTTCCTACAAAGTCAGGCTCATGATCCAAGATGTCAGAGAGGAATGTTGCATTTCTACTTGGGGGATATTCTGAATTGTGTCGAGTCCATCTGCGTTAAATTTCCTCTTCCACAGAACTAAAAGACAGGGACAGATGTGCAGAATATTGACACTTCCATGTCCTTTGTGGCTGAGGCATCATCTGCTTCTTTCTCACAGCAGTGATTTGTGAAACAATTTGCATTACAGAGATATTCTATGTAGAAAGAATTGTTAAAAAAGAGTGACACTGTAAAGTATCACAGAGTATTCCAGAAGTTAGTGTCCTAATTTGCCTCATTTCTGCATTGTTTTTTAATCTCATTAAATTTGCCAAATTGGTTGAGGAACGTTAGATGCAGTCCTGGAGCACATCTCCCACTTTACTTTCGTCTGAAATGAATTCAGTTCGCGCTTCAAAACTCCACTGAGTAAACAAAAACACTGTAAGTGGGGAGAGCCAAGAGATTTCACCTCCAAGGATGATTGGAATGAAAATGTTCCTGTAGATATATTCATTTTTTCTCCCTCTGCTGTCTTCACACAGTGCATATAACAGTAAGAGCTGAGCTAATGAGCAGCTAAGCAGTAATTCAGTTTAACCTTTTGTTCCACATTTGGCCTGGAGCTGTTTATTACCTACTGTTCAAAGCCTGCTCCGAATCTAAAATTATCAACATCCTCACCAGTTTTTCTCAGAGTGCTCATCACACCAGTACCCAGGTGCTGGGCAGGCAGTGAGTTTGCTTGCACTGCATCTCAGTGATGGGGAAGTGAGCAGCAGTCCCCCTTCTGCTGGCAGGGGCTGGCAGGCTGGAGAATCTGGTGGAAAAGCTATTGACTCATTTGGGATGCCAAGACTGAAACTCATCAGACTGGAGACCTTTTTTTAAGGGAGTTGAACACTGCTCTTGCTCAAACCCCAGCTGTTTTGACCTCTGTTACAGCTGTTGAGTGCCCAGCCTTTCTGCAAATCACACTGCAGATTGTCAAGCCAAACTCTGGTAAAAGGAAAGAAAATGATTAATGAACAAATGTAAAATAAATAAATAAAAATAAAAAAAACCCTCTGTGTTTGAAGCAAGTTGCTTAGCATCCTGCTGGCAATCTGAGTCTGATGCAAGAAGGGTTGCTAATTCCCAGAGGCAACGTTTGGTGCATTTGCCATGCTTGCCTGCTTGTGAAGTCTCTTGTTTCTTTTCCTGCATGTTTTCAGCTTTTGCAACAGATGGGAGAGGAGTTATATAAGGAACAGATATCTTCTGTGGTGTAGCAGGAGCTGTGCTTGCCTTGCTAGTAAGGGAACTCTAGAAGTAAATAATTTAGGGGCTTCTTGTGGGTTTGCATCTTGTGGTTGGTAGGAAGCTTTGGTTGATCTAGTGAAAGCTTTTCCACTGGGTTGAAGTACTTCTGAGGCTCTCCTCCATGTGAATTATCCTGTCTGTAGGAACATGAGTGGATGTTGCACTTTTGCTTGCATCAGGTCTTGTGTCCTTTAGCCAGCTGCCTACGTTACAAAATGTAGCTCTGGGTCCTTTCCTCTGGTGGGTGGCACTGAAATTCTCTAAAACATTTTAAAGGTTTTACTGGAGGACTGGAAAAGGCAGCCTCATCAAAAAAACCTTGGAATCTGAAATCCTATCTAAAGGAGTGGATGGTCCTGTAACTAAAGGACTGGACTGTAACACGTCAGCACTGAGGGTCCAAGCGAAGCTCACACAGACAGTGTCAGTTGATGTTGCTCAACTCTGGTGTCCTTCATGCTATAGCCATAAAAATACTGCTTTTAGTGTAGCTCCCCCCAACCTCTGTAATTGCCCAGGCTTAAAAAAAGCAAACTGTGATGGAAAAAAAGCATTGTGTAGCACACCCTCAGTAGGAATAAGGTTTCAGAGTGCAATGGTTAAGGGCAGGGTGTGAGGTCTCAGCTCTGATGTCTGTAGCATTGGACAGTTGTCACAGAATCATAGAATCAACCAGGTGGGGAAGACCTCTGAGATCATCAAGTCCAACCCTTGATCCAACCCTAGTGGGGTTCCCAGCCCATGGCACTGATGGCACATCCAGTGTCACCTTAAACATTTCCAGGGATGGTG